GAATGCACAAGACGACATATTGATACATGATAAATGTTGGAATCAATAACTTTATCAATGACTTCAAATAACAGCCTCGTGGAAATATAATCCTTCTTTCTACACTGGAGAGCCCAAGATCTCAAACTTAAGAAGTATAAATCTGACCGATGGAGGTCTTCGATTTGAGAAAGAGACGAACGGTTTGACTGAGCAGGGTTTGGCCTCGTTCAAATCTTTTCAATACTATCATAATATTGTCTCAGGCATCACTCATTTGCAGCCTTTTTTGGGTGAAGAGAAACCTACTGGTGCATAGTTAAAATATTCTATTTCTTTCGTATCCGTGTGATGTATATAATGCTGTGTTGTATTTTACAAATGATTCAACATTAATGTTTTTTTTGTTCTTTGTTCCCCTGATCCCCAATGGAGTATTCCCGTTCAGTTGCAAACTCGCTGATCTGAATTTACCTGAGGCTGCTGTAAGGGAACGGTCAATAATTCCAGCATGGTCATACATACTGAAAACATGTAATTAAGGCGGATACTTCAAAGCACTATACCGCTTGAAACAAGGGGGGTATTGACATAACTATTGATAGATAAGACTATTCTCTCTGTTTACTAGCTTTTGATGTGCAGCGATGAGTATGAAATACCAGCAATTATGCTCAATAATCCATCATCAATCCATACCTTCCTTGTCTAGCGCCTTGTTTTCCCATCTGTGATATATATTTTTTCTCATCTTGTGAATGGAGCTCCACACACAGAAAGACATTCGTGATGACATTGATATCCACGGGAGGACCCTCTTCTACAAAGGAAAAGGTTTGGCTTTGCGGTTCTTGCCAGTCAAAGATGATGTAGTGTTGGTGGGTAATGGGCTGACAGTGATAGATGGAGGCATCAGTTGCTTATCCATTCTCAGATTGAAGGTTCGAACCTCAAAGGAATTGGTATATTTGCATGTAATTAGTACCCATGGATACATTGTCATGTCTCTTGAGGCCGATTGCAGGATTAGCCGGTATTTTATCGGTTTTCTGTATTATGTAAATGCATTCTTTTGCCTGTGCCTAAAGTGTTGATTTACGTTCACCCACAATCATTTGACATAACTATTTACTGAGATATGCTTCATCAAACAGAGTCTAACAATCCAACTGACGGCAGGTGATTAGACCGTATTTTGCTTCGTGAAACGAATGTGGTTCGTTGGTTCAGTGAGTGTGGTATTTACGGAAACGTGTTTTGAATGTTGGTGAGATTCATGTTCACATGGGAAATTAGGACAGATGAAGTCTCGAAATACGTTTATCTGTAGGTCAAAACAACGAGCACGTTTTGCGATCCAGAAATCCCTGGTCCGGTACCTTTGTACGCAGTACCCCTCAGAATGTAGGGACTCACGGTAAGTAATGGTCTAAATTGTGCAGGGCTGCTATGTAACAAATGTGCTGTAAATAATAATAATAAAATGTTAAAATTTGTATGGCGCCTGAATCCAAGGCGCTTGGTTCAATGCTCTGTTGAAAAGAAGTGTTTTTACCTTTTTAATGGAACGATGTCCGACAAGTTTTTTTCAAATTTTCATTGTCATTGGTTCCATGACATTGGACCTGCCTTGGCAAAGGCTCTATCGCCATAACTTGCTCTGCGGCTAGAGGGCACTGCTGCAGTAGTTTCCTGTCTGACCTTACAAGGTGGATTATCTTGGGAAAGCGAGGTTATGATTTTTCCGTCTGCCAAATATCAGAGGGGTAAACGTGTAAATGGTTAGTTGAACAGTCCATATGCTCAGCTCTCACTGAATGTAACTGAAATATGTCCCATACCAGTTCTCGTAGGTCGCAGTATAGGTGTTAACATCTGAGGAAACAACACCTCACTGAAACAATGTTGATATTGAGGAAACAGTAAATGTTTAATTTTATATGACAAGTCAACGAATGCAATCTCCAGATGTGTAGCACAAATAAAGTCATTCATTTTGTACAAAAATAATCTGAGCTTATTTAAATTATTTTCAATTTCATAATTGAGACTGTGTAGTCTTGTAATAGCCTACAGGAAAATATCAGATTCTCAACATGTCCAACAAAATATGTCAAATTTCAGAAACCAACAACAGCGTCGTACTTCAGTTTTTCAATTATCCCATGTGAAAACTAACTATCGGAAAGTTGGAATTTCTATTTGCAAAGAGTCTTAAGGATACTATATTGTCCTTTTATATTCATGCATAAATCTAAATACGTAATGGCTGAAGCCTTTGGTATTATGGAATTCAAGCAGAGAGCATTTTGATGATGAATGTTTGAATCAATAACCGTTTCACCTTCAAACAACAGACTCATGAAAATATAATCCTACTTTCTACACTGGAGAATCCTTCGATCTCAACACTTCTGAAGTATAAATCCGACAACTTGAAAACTTTGAAAACAAAAAAGACGATCAGTTTGGCTAATCCGGGTTTGGACGGGCGCAGGATCTCTTTTACAATTCTTTCACAGTATTTTCAGCGACATCGACACTTGTAAAGAGAAAACTGTTGGTGCATATTGTGATAATTACAAATGTAATCCGTTTTCAATCAATACAGGAAGACCATTTCACCTATACATTCATCAAGTAAACGATATTAATGAACGATACATGAACACAAGATCACACATCAAAAGAAATTAAGGTAATAACAAGTTTACCAAAGCGGGATAATAACAGCTGATTGTAGTGTTCCCACTCCTTGTCATGGCAGTACTGAATAACAGGTCATTGAGCTGTTTGGCTTGCAGATGTGCTGAATGAATCGTTCTATGGAGAAACAGAATTCGTCCTGAGACAACACTTGGATCAATGCAGTACAACACCCATTTGCAGTCTCCAAGGTAGAGCATTTCTGAAACTCGCGACTGTCAATTGGACATCTTGTGTGTGGTTATATCCTGTGTGTGGTTATATCCGGTGTGTGTGGTTATATCTTGTGTGTGGTTATATAATGTGTGTATAGGGGGTAATCAGGGTGGATTCCACATTGTAAAACAAAAGTCACCGTGTTCTTTAATCTGATTGGTTGAAAAACATGATCAAATGGTATTCGATTCCCGCAAATTGAAAGACTATTCACTGCGTATTGACACGTACAAATATGACACAGAGTTGTATTGCTGCGTTGCCATCAGTGTTGACGTCATTCAAGTCATATTGTGAAGTAAAGTCTGAATGACGTCACAAATAGCAGTTCCAGATGCTACCGTGGGAACCAGCTGAAACGGCCAGCTGATGACACTTCACTGTTGTACCCGTACTCGATGTCAATGAGTGCAGACAGTAAAACCCATGTGGGCATTTTGGTTTACTTTTGTGTTTACAATGGAAATTGGCCAACACATGATATTTATCTCCTAATTGTGTAACTACTTGTGATGCTGTGGGATGTAGTTTGGTCTGTGTCAGCTATATTGAGTTCAAGCAGCAGATCGGGATGAGAATGGTTAGGAATGGGTGGTATAATGTTGATTATATACACACAGGCGTATGGGGATCACAATATGTACCAGCTTGTGTGTGTGTGTGTGTGTGTGTGTGCCCCTGGCCGGCAATCCAGTCTGTATTGTGTAGTTATGCAGCATTATCCAAAGCAACTGTCAACCATTGTTTTCTATACTTCTTCCGAGTATAACTAGATTATCATATATCATTTTTACTCTTGTAAGGTGTCTTATTGTCTCATGTGTCTCATGGTCGGAAACCTATATATGTATACTGAACAAAATTATAACCTTTACACACGCATTATTGGTTACAATTATGAGGGGGTAATTTATTTTAGTTTCTAGCTGTGCTATATTCATAGGTAATAACGTGTAGCTTGACGTAAACAATCGTTTATCGGTTTTTATGTCTTCTTCGATAATTGTAAAAATAATTATATATCCAATAAGGTTGATAAATATTTGGAAAAGGTATGTTATTTGGGTTCAGCATTTCTAAATATTATGTTTAGTATCGAATAATGCCTCAACACAGCCTTCACTTCGGAATTAACATTTCCCGTAGGGAAGACATGATGGTGAGATTATACTGACCACCCAAAATCATTCGTCAAGAGATTTTTAAGTTCGTAAACACTAATAATCAGTGTCTAGGATGTAAATTGTACAGCAACCCAGCTAATCATAATCTCACCCATGCGGCATATACTCTTGAAGCCTTGGATGATTTATCACAGACATAAGACAAGGGCGCACAAAGCCATTCAAACACTCTATTGAACAGATGGAGCCGCTCCAATAACGGTTGACCGTAATGATAAACATAAGTTTCTGGATAATTCTGTCATCAGTAATGACTGGAGGTCTCCCCGGCCAGATACCACTCATCCTCCAGCAAGCAGAGCATCATGTGCTAGCGTCTTCACTGATTGATCCTATCCGGTGAAACACAGAGCAGGCACATGTCTGGGTGGTTTAGGCCGATACTTAAAGCTTAATTACCGTAGAGAATGAGATCCTGCTTTTCCCGATGGTTGGTCCGTTAAAGATCAAACGACGGCTTCATCGTTTCCTTTGCATGTAAAAAATGAACAGATGTTGGATGCATAAAGAAGAAATACAAGCGAGGTATGTTATGTAAGAGACAGACCATTTAATAATGATACGCTGACAACTAAAGTAGAAACTGGAAAAGAATTTGCTTTAGGATTTACAGGAAGAAGAATTGTCTGTGGTTTACACAAACTACCATTTGGCCGACTTTCATTTTTGTTGAGGCCGCGGTGGCTGAGTGGATTAATTAGATGGCCGACTTTGTGTGCTGGAAATTTGGTTCCTCATTCTTAGAGTGTGGACTCGAATCCCGGATGGGACTCAACCCAAAGTGAGTGAGTGACTGAGTGAGTGACTGACTGAGTGAGGCCATGTTCGCTAACCAAGTCTGTGTCCATAGTCCCACAATGCATTCGTAGAATGTCGGGTGACTAGTCAGCTTCATCTGGATTTACTGTTCCGAACTTACGTTGGTAGTAGAAATGCGACGTTCATATTGCCCCATATGGTTTACGATAGTCACAGATGTAATCAAAATAATATAGAGAAGTTGTTTAACCCGAACGTAAACCGTCATCAAACTATTTATCATTTGTTTTCCTGGTAACGTGCATGTTAACGTGGGGGCAGACACTTCAACAGAACAGCACGTCACTTAGCCCTGAACGAGGATTGTTAATTTTGGTCACCGACACCGTCTTTTTCTGTTTGTTTTCAGCCTTAGATTAATCGCCAGTAAGTATTAAATTTGGTATCATAGAAATGAAATACAGTTCGCACCTCCCCCATGTATAGTTTTGCCCTGAACGAGTAAAGTAAGAGGACGCTTGCTTGGGGTAGAGCAATCTGTATTTCTTAAATCGAGAAGATATTGTTCTGGATCCAGTGACAGTTACTTTACTGAGAAAGTGACTCCAAAATATAGCATATGTAAAGAATTGTTCACTCGACTTTATTGGATGTCCTGAAACGATGTGCTGTGAATTTGATGATTTTGACTGATGTACACATCATTATACATTACAGCAGTACTTCAGTGTTTCAAGTGTCGAATCTTTGCAGTTGTTTGATAACAAAGTGGCGAAGAGGTCCAATTAATTCAGTCAATCTCTTTACACACATGGACCGTAAATAAGTGAGTATGTTTATATAGTCAGCAACCCGTGAAGATCCGGGTTAGAGTATTGATCTTCAGTAACCCATGCTTGTCGTAAGAGGCCACTAACGGGATCGGGTGGTCAGGCCCGCTGACTTGGTTGACACATGTCATCGGTTCCCATTTGCGCAGATCGATGCTCATGCTGTTGATCACTGGATTGTCTGGTACAGACTCGATTATTTACAGACCGCCGCCATATAGCTGGAATATTGCTGAGTGCGGCGTAAAACTCTACTCAATCAATTACTCACTCATATAGTCAGTACTATCTCAGCAATATCCCTGTAGCATGGACAATCGATTCTGGGCCTGCCTGACAAGATCACGTGGTTGGCTGAATGAAAACGATCCGTGTGGTGGAGGTACCGTGACACACATTCAGCCATACCACACTTCGTAGTCACCTTCATCACCCATACCTGTAGCACTTACCTTACAATTAGTACTGCTGACAGTAAAGTAGGGCGAAGAGTTCCAGGTTCGCAGGAAAAACATGGATAGGGTGAAGCCAATTTCAGGTACAGGTATACCCCGAAATATACACTGTACTCATTCACCGTGGACAATCACTTCATGCAGTGCCGTAGAGGTCAATGGCTTCACCCACATTTAGTGACCTTACTTGATCGAATCTACAATAACCGAATCGATATCATAAACTTTGAATAATACCGATTCGTTTCATTTAGATTAACTGATATCTCACTAATATTTAGTGGTCGTAGAGACTTGGAAATAACGAAAATGCACTGTATGTTATAAATATACTCGAAATCGACAACATTTGGGCTGCTGCCGCCATCGTTGAGACACATCTGGATGATGGTATAAACCTCACGCTAGGCTTTACCGCATGACTGAGTTTGCAAGTCTGACTTCGCTCGCTCGACAGAAGTGACAGACAGATGACAGGCCGAATCGATATGACCACATATCACTAATACTAGAACTCCAACAGTGCTAAGTAAAATTACTGTTCACGTAAATAGCAATCCTTCCACACCACACGGGCTTCAAAGTCCTCCGGTTGTTGGAAGGTATCTTCTAAATATCCATACCAGGCCAAATTATTGATAATTATGAAATAATAGCTTCTTGATATATATCTCATCTGGGGACTGCTTTTTCTGCAGTTAACTCAGTGATGATTCGTTGTAGATCTGTGCAATTAAATCATGTCGACCCGGATGTATGTTCAAATAAGTACGTACTGAAATATAGCGTCTGTATTCGTGGCCTTGAGTGTCAGCTTAAAGAGAAGTCCCGTGGTTTGATCCCCGACACGTCATTTCAAAAGACGTTACGCACTTACGCACTCAGGTCCAAATCTTATCTTACCCTCGAAGTGTTTACGCACGCAAACACTTACACACGCGGGTATTTACGTACGCAAGCATATGACCACTATAATGTGATATCAAAATATGTTACGCATGTACCCAAGTAGGCACTTATGCAGGTACTATCGTTCCATCAGATGTTGAGCGCACCAGCACTTGCGGATTGTTTGACATTTGCAAATCATCTGTCTCATTCACATGAACGTTTTGTACAGAATTGGACCACTCGTTATACAGTTATATCCAGGACAAAACCAGCGGAATAATAGTAAGACATACCACGATAACATAGGGCTTGGAGCTATGACCATAACTGCCAAATTGTAATCTCATCGTGATTATCAACAGGCGTTTCAAAGGCCTTCACGTATCCTCCCTTGATTCAAAATAACGTTTCCCACTTAATACTTGTTCAGTTGTGCAAAAGATACATGTGCAAAAATTAATGTGATCCATGGGAAAACACACAAGCTGCGAGTATGTATGTATATTTGCTTCAAGTCACAATACAATACAATGTAGTTTAATCGGAGGAGTTCCGGGATTATCGGGGTTAGCATTGACAAGATTTGCACCAGTAGCTTTAAATAGCTGATGGTATGCAGGAAAGTACACACAACAGTGGCCTTTGACGCAGAACAGGCAAGAACCAACCTCAGGCGCAGATTAATACCGGAAACAACCGATCAAGGTGTATTCAGTGCAGATTTATGTAGTGAAGGTAACGTTGCAGCGGAGAGCAAGGGGCCTGTGCTTCACGCACGTACACGTTATGTCAACACCTGGTGTCTCCGTCTGAAACAGCTTATTTCAACTGGCAGCATGGGTACACACCTGGGAGATCAACCGATGCACAAAGCACTTTATAGTGTAATATCGTTTCACAGGTTATTTTAATTATCTTAAATGTTAGAATAACACTGAATAGCACTGAATAACATTATTATGCTATCATGCGTTAATTCATGGTCGTGTATTTGTGTTGCTTAAAATAGCGCAACAGAGAGGTGGTCGAGTGCTTAAAGAGAACGTTCGTCACGCCGAAAGCCCTGATTTGAGTCTCCACAAGAATACACTGTATAAAGACACCGTCTTGTGTGTCTTGCTGTGATTTTGCTGGAATATTGCTAAAAGCGGCGTGTAATAATATTCACTCACTCATATTTGAATCATCACATATGTATATAACATAGTATACGTTTGTGCCTTACATTCACATTAATATAAAATGAAACAGAAAGCAAATAGGCCAATCTTTCCAGTCATAAAATACATGTGAGGGCACGCTAGAAGGTGTGTTTGAATCGATCCCATACAGGTTAACTCTGGTCGTGGTGGCATCACTTGATATGGATGTGCAACTTCTTTTAATATTTACACACGACGTTTCTGCTTTTATGCTTGCCCCTTCATCAGGTGAATGACAGCCAATAGTTACAGAGGTATATATGGTATGTACAAGAAGCCACAGAGTTGTTTTTACAAAGGTATATATAGTATGTACATGAGGCCACAGAGTTGTTTTTACAAAGGTATGTATATTATGTACGATTTGTTGTTTTTACAATATTAGTACTGTCACACATTCTGCATGGCTTCTTCTCAGTAGAATGTATTTGCTAATATCTTCTCAAATTGTTTTGGCATACATCTCTTTCCATTATAAATCAACACGCCCAAATCTACCACCGCATAAACCATTTTAAGTCGACTCTCACATATAAAACATGCCTCTTTACGGAATAGTTTAACAGTGTAATTTCCACGATTTCAACTTCCTGTTTATGTGATATATTTGCATGTCTCATTAGATGCACGTAGTCATACAGTCTGGTAACTGGTGCGTTTAGCAGTTAACAATTACTGATAACGAGGATGTGTCAGCATTGTTTGGTCTGTCCTGTACTTGTACTTGTCTGATAATTATGAACTGTTCTTCTGCCCATTGTTGAGAATGATAAAGACCCGCATGAATCCCGGCGATGGTCTACACCATGGTAATAAGCCATGGCATTAGGGATGTTGTATGGAGACAGCTGCAGAAAACACATACCTTCTTTTAAATGTAGCTTTTGACAGTATGATTGTGATGTTTTTTATAGGCACAGTTTGCAGCAGTGTATGTTTTGTGTTTAAACTACCTGCCCCCTCCATCCCGCCCACGCCCGACTTCCCTGTAAACTATTGAAAGGTGAGCCGAAACGAAAAGAACATATTCAAACCCATTATGTGTTTTCGTATGTTCACCTACGCTTGTCATTATTTAGAAATATTGACTCTTTATTGACCGTGAATTTGAAGAACGCTCTCAGATGCATTTGAATACAGAATCGGCTCCTGTGGCTCTATAACGGATCAGCAGCTTCGTAATTTGTATAACTGTTAGGTACGTCTCTGTCTTGATAGGGCAGTCATATGTCAGGTTATCATAATTCCACTGTAGTATAATGTGACTATGTCGCTCTCTGTTGGAACATGAGTGTTACTTCTCATTTCACTCGACAATAACGTTGCCACATGGAGTGAAATCTTCCCAGAAGAGTTAAGGTATATTACCCTGCGTGATCAATGTATCGATCTACTCACTATTCAACAACAACCACAGTCGACTTGATCGTGATTGAATGACTTATGAAATTCCGTTAGAATAAACAGAGACAAATTATTAACGGAATCCAATAATGAAAATCATTAAACATTTGTTGTCTTTGGTAAGTAGACGATGTTGAGGTTCTCGTAGTGTAACATTATACAACACATTTCATTATAATGTTTAATCAAAGTGTTCACTTGCTGTTATGATTGCATAGAATAAGGTAAAGTATTTACTCTATGTGTTGCTCTCAGATATTCACAGCTTTGATGTGCCCATGTTTGTGCAGAACAGCGAAACAAAACATAACACTCTCTCCCGACACTAATAATCATCTCGGAGCTATAAATTGCTAACATAGTTAGCCATCGATGATGTATTTAGTGTTTTTAAACGCACTTGCTGGATTGGATACCATGTACGTGTTCAAAGTGGTTTTCCAGGAGCATTGATATGGTTAATGAAGGACACATACATTTGCATGTAGCTAGTTGATCAAATATTATTATATATTTCATAGAATGCATCATAATCCTTTGTATTGTCCGGGGATTTCCATGGATTAGCATAATTAAAATCAACATTATAAACATTTTTAACA